TGCTACAGACAACTCCTCAAGTGCTGCTGCTTCTGCTGCTTCTGCTGCTGCTGCTGCTGCACGTAGCTGCTGCGCCTCAGTCCCTAGCTGCTGCTGCAGCTGCAGCAAAGCCAGTTGCTGCAGCAGCAACAAAAACAGCAGCAGCAACTCAAAAGAAGCAAATGAATAAACTAAACTAACAAATAAAACAAATAAATAAAACAAACAAACAAACAAACAAATTAATCAACCGGCAAACAAATAAAAACAAATAAACAAAACGAAGAAAATTAAGAAAGCAATAAAAAGGATAAAATAAAATAAAATAAATAAAACAAAGACAGGTTAAACAAACAACAATAAATAAAACAATAAATAAAAAGAGATAAACAAATAAATAAAATAAATAAATAAATAAATAAATAAATAAATATAATCTCACCAGGCTTTCGCTGCTACACCCGAAGACAGCGACGCAGCAGCAATGTTTAATTAAGTGCTGCTGCAGCAAAACTCTGCTGCTGTTTGCTGCTTTGCAAGCTGCTGCTGCTGTCAGCAACTCTAAGTAACAGCAACTCACGCTGCCCTCCAGCGCCCCTTCTGCTGCTGCTGCTGCTGTTGCTGTTGCTGCTGACAGATGTGGGGCTGCTCCCAACCCCGTAACAGCAGCAGCAGCAGCAGCATCAGCTGCAGCACCACCACCATCAGCAGCAGCATCAGCAGCAGCAGCAGCAGCAGCAGGACGCCTGTGCTGCTGCGACCCCACAGCAAATACAGATAGCTGCTTGATAAATTTGAGGGGTATATATACTCCTCGGTCGCCTGCAACACGAAGGCGCTGCTGCAGCAGCAGCTGCTGCTGCTGCAGCTGCTGCTGGAAGTATGTCGCTTCACCCGTCAGCAGCTGCAGCACCAACTGCTGGTGCTGCAGTTGCAGCTGCTGCAGCTGCAGCTGCTGATGCTGCTGCTGCTGCAGGCCAGAGGCATTTGCACCCACACTCTGCAGCATCTCCATCAACCACTCAACGCTGAAACCTGCTTGCTGCTGCTGTTGTTGCTGCTGCTCTTGCTGCTGCTGCTCTTGTTGCTGTTGCTGCTGCTGCAGTTGCCGCAGCTGCTGCTGCAGCAGCAGCTGCAGCAGCGCAACAGAGACGCGTTGCAGCTCCTCAAATACATCACTTGGAGAGGAATTGCTGTCAATCTGCTGCTGCTGCTGCTCCTGCTGCTGCTGCTGCTGCTGCTCTCCACAGTGCCAGACGGGGCAGAGGAGGAGGACAAACGCACAAAGGCGTTGAACTTGGGGGCTGCTGCTGCTGCGCTGCAGCAGCAGCAGCAGCAACAGCAACAGCAGCAATGAGCGTGAGTTGCTGCTGTTGCCTTGCAGGTTAAGGGGGCTTTCTGCTGCTGCTGTCTCTTCTGCTGCTGCTGATTCTTTTGCTGCTGCTGCATCTCTTCCTGCTGCCGCTGTGTCTTCTGCTGCTTCTGTCTCTTTTGGTGCAGCAAACAACGAAAATGTTTGTTTAAATACTTCTGTCTCCTCTACCCTAATGAAGGCAGCAGCAACACTCTCCAGCTGCTGCTGCTGCTGCTGCTGTTGCTGCTGCTGCTGTTGTTGCTGCTGCTGCTGCACTTGCAGACTGTCTGGTGCGTGCAGCAGGAACCCAGTGTAGTTCTCCTTCCCTCCTCCCACTGCTGCTGCTGCTGCTGCTGCTTCTGCTGCTGCTTCTGCTGCTGCAGCTCTAAGGCGCTGCAGCGCAGGCGACTGTCGGCGAAGCAGCAGCAGCTGCTGCTTTTGCTGCTGCAAATCAACGCTCGTGTGTGCTGCAGCAGCAGCAAGCAGCCAGCTGACGAAGAAACAAACCTCCGCCGTGTGGGGCCCCTGCTGCTGCTGCTGAGGTGTACAGGCAGCTGATTGAGGCGATAGAGCTTTTAGAGGAGACAGCAGCAGCTGCCTATACACCTCAGTGTTGTCTCCTGCTGCTGCTGCATGCTGCTGCACATCCGGCAGCAGCAGCTGCAGCAGCTGCTGCAGCCCTTGCTGCTGCAGCAGCAGCAGCAGAAATCCCTCATCGATCGATGTGCGGCCCAACTGCAGCAAATAGGCAGCAGCAAACGCAAAAAGAAATATCAATATGTTTATTTTTAAATACAGTATAAATATATAGTTGTATATAAACATAAACATAAATATATATATATATATATTTATTTATTTATTTACTTATTTGTTTGTTTATTAAGCTGTATAATATAGATATACGCGTATACATATATATGTATATATATGTATATATATATATATATATATATATTTATTTATATAAAGCAAATATATACACATATATATGCATACATTTATATATATAATATATAATAATATATATATATATATGCATTTACTTAATTGTATATAAAATATAATAAATATAATAAGATGTACAGTGTACGCTAAACAAAGCCGATAAAAATTAATTTTTTATATTTTTATATTTTTTGTCTTCATTACTTTTCTCTTTTGCTT